ACATAATGTGTATGTGAAAACACCGATTACAATGCCAACCTTGGGGAACATCCTCTTGTGCACAAAATGATCCCTCTTACAATTGAGGTTTGTTTGAAAAGAAAGCTAATTAGTGGTTAGCACAAGCAGCGATAGCCACCGCATGACTGCACACACAAAGGAAACCGCACCACCTACGGAAACTCAAACTCCCCATTTCAGTTGAAAGTGCCCAAACGATCTCATGCCGATTTCCACTCAAAAATGTTTTTGCAAAATGTTCCTTTTTATGCTCTTTTTTGGCCACCTAGTCATTTTTAACATGTGACGGTATATGGCTGACACATTTTGCTAGGATTCATTATTTGCATTTTGACTCCTCATTGACATGGACACTATCTCACATTGGCTGATTTTAAGTGTGTGCAAAGTATGCTTACAGGAGTAGGCTGTGTGTACGAGTGATTCTTTTTAAATGCATTGAATCTGGGGGAGTAAGTGTGTGTGTGTGTGTGTGTGTGTGTGTGTGTGTGTGTGTGTGTGTGTGTGTGTGTGTGTGTGTGTGTGTGTGTGTGTGTGTGTGTGTGTGTGTGTGTGCTATGTGTTGGCTTACATGTCCATTGGCTAAATGTGCACATATCTGCAGAGCCTGACGTGCTGTGTGTGTGTGTGTGTGTGTGTGTGTGTGTGTGTGTGTGTGTGTGTGTGTGTGTGTGTGTGTGTGTGTGTGTGTACGTAGTAGTAGTGTCCGTAACTAGTCGAACTACGGTCTAACTAGGTAAGTAGTACGACGTAAGTATAGTCTAGGTAAGGACGTAGTACGTAAGACGTTAGTAGTAGTAACGTAGTAGTTGTACGTAGTACGTGTGTGTGTAGTGTTAGTGTACGTGTGTGTGTGTCGTGTGTGTGTGTGTGTGTGTGTGTGTGTGTGTGTGTGTGTGTGTGTGTGTGTGTGTGTGTGTGTCTCTCTCTCTCTGTTTCTGCGGGTCAGTGTGATTACAAAGCAGCAATAGATCAAGTTTTATTATGCACCAAAACTGCCTCTGTCCTCTTTACTTTGCAATGTCATCCCAGCACACAGGCTCACATTGCACACACACACACACACACACACACACACACACACACACACACACACACACACACACACACACACACACACACACACACACACACACGCACACAAAGACGCAGGCACACACATGCACACAGGAACGACTACAAAGGCAAACACAGATGCACACACCAACAGTGAAACGGTAGCACACAGATAAAACGTAGCCCGAATGTGTGTGGCTATCCACATGTGCGCCTGTCTAGTTTATTCCACCGGGGATTGTGAGGCCCAATCAGCAGCAGCGAGCCAAAATAAAAGCAGCAAAGATAAAAGCAATTTATTTGACCAGAACAAGAAGACAAAGCGTGTTTACGTTGGCTCCAGGGCTGCACGCCGCATCTGTCTCTACAGCTTTATACGTCCTTCTGCTAGACTCAGTAAACATCTGGCTATGTTGTTCTTAAACAAGTAAATACAGATATAGTGTATATATAAGTCTTTATACTGTATCCTCTCGACATTCATTTGGAGTAGGACTTCTTCATACAGTTTGCACATAGGGTTAAATACTGTATCTCTTGAAATGGTCAGTCGGTCTACCTCTGTTAAATAGAGTGCAATGTAATTGAATAACTAACCCTACCCCCAGGCAGAATGAATCTTAACAACTTTTCTGATCTAATGATTACACTTTGAATTTTTTTTTGAGCAAATACCTGTAAAACTACAGGTGGCCTATAGCTGTACTTTGTTTGTGCCATTTAGCAATATTAGCATGCTAACAAGCTAACTTAAAGGGTGAACATGGTGACTACCTGCACTCAATCACTCATCCCTAGACAACTGTGAGCAGCAAGTGACAAGCTATGAGCCTAAAAAAGAGGAAGACTGTGGGTGCGACTGGTTGCAAAAAGAAAGCCGATTATATAAAAGTCTATGTGGCAATGACGCTACTTCTTATCTCCGGCAACATTGCCCTGACAAGTTTGTGGTCTCAGTCGCCACTTCAGGTCTTATTTAATACAACATGACGTTCAATTTGTAAATGTTGGTCCCATTTAGGGAATAATACACTATGAAAAAGCTCAGAGAATTGACTGTTAACCTAAAATGATAGGGACTACATGATGGGAATCACACATTATAAGTATTTTGGTTAAGTTAAATTAAGCACAATTTCAATGGAACTGGACCTATACTTTGACAGTTTGATAGACATGAGAATGTGAAGCAAATATTAGAATAAAATATGCCTTTTGTACATTTTCACCATCATGTATCCGTATAGCCTATACTGCCCTTCTGCTACTTAAATGTTAACATTATTACTATCTTTCTATAATGTGCTTTAACAAAATTCAATACCATCGTATCATCTCAGCAATACTGTATGATATTAAAAACTACCCTGACTTCCTGATCATTTGTTAATAAAGGGGGGGGAAGGACTAGGAAATATCTGCCTAACCCTCGCCAGCACATAGGTCTGATGATGTGCAGGTGTGATTTCCATAATAAAACTCTCAATTTTGAAAAGCTGACACCAGCAAGATCTCATATAATAAGCCGAAGAGGAGATTACTGAGAATTATGAGGGTGGGGCCATCTGTGTTTGAAAAATAAATAGTGAATTCTCAGTGTTTTTCTGCAGCCATCGTCAAGATAACCCTAGTTTTAGTATATCGAACTATACAAATAGAAGTTAATTGAACATATACTGTTAATCTGGTGCCCTGAGAATCCTTGTTGACAGAGAAATTAGTAATTGCATTTGGTTATGTTTCTATTGATGCTGATACAGTCTCTCCAGCTTGTTTTTCACCATTGCACGCCATATAAGAGTGCACAGCCCAGCAGTAAAGTCCTATGCAGTTTCATTCTCACTACAGATGACAGCCTCTTGCTTTTTTCTTTTTGCTCGGCGCACTCCTGTTGAATTCTGCAGTAGGAGGTACAGCTTATTATTTCCCTCCCTTCCCCTGTTTTCTGTCAGTCTTTCTGTCTGTCTCTCCACATGATCAGAGAGTTTCTTTTATTATTTTATTTCTCTGAGGATTAAAGCCAGTAGAAACCCAATCCCTCTCACTCCTCCTTCCCATCTCACCTTCTTTTCCATCAAATTCACCCTGTACTCACCCCCTCCCCTTCGGGCCAAATAAGGCCCCACCCTGAAATGAATGGATTAATGACTTCTCTCAGTCTCTCATATGGCCAGGCACAAAATAACACCTGCAGCGCTGTCTGTCTGCGCGCCTGTGTGTGCGTATCTTTTGTCTTTCTGGACGTCTCTCTGCATGCCTACAGTATACAGTATATGTATGATGTACCTGAGTGAAATCCACTCTATTGTATTCACTGTTGCTCTGACCTGCCTGGTGACTCATTGTGAAGGATCCATCCAGGGCTTCACATCTTAGAGGAGAAAGCACACATACAAAATAGTCTGCAGTGGTTATGTGATTGCTTCCATTAAAGTGATTATGCAATCAACAGCAGAAAGACTGGCAGGAGGCAGACAGGTAGACAGACTAACAGACAGAAGAATGGAGGGAGGGGGGGTAGATGTGGTATGCTTACCCACAGCACTCGACAGGCAGAGGGAATTTCTCTCTTGTTAATAATCATTATGAAATGGCTTCACGTGGAGCACTTGCCTCTCCGCTCAGCATGACGGCAGGTCTCTCCCAGCACAATCCTCACACACACACACACACTCACACTTGTTCTGTCTTTCTTCAGTTCCCCCTCTTTTTTTCACTCCTTGTCTTCCTCCTGAAAATATTAACCAGACACCAGAGGCTTCCAGTAGGCGTCCCTCTCTGTGCCTCCCCATCTCCCACTCTGGTGAGCCGGGGTTTAGTGCGTCCCGGGCTCCAGCGCAGGCACACTCCGGTGCTTGTTTTTTACCAAAGCAAACAGATGGAAAGGGAGAGAGAGGTAGACGGAGTGATGGGCCCGGCAGGGATGGTGCGAGAGTCTGGCAACAGGGACTTAGTTACACATCTCCTCTCTTCTTCTTTGTTTTACATCACGTTCTACCTCTTAGCACTCACTGTCAGTACAATGTTCTGTCAGCAGGCAGGCCCCCGCAACATTTGGTCTCTGATCGCATCTTTTAATGTATTATAGCATGAATTGTGTATTTTTTTATCCCAAAATGTGTACTTTCAACGAGCCAAACACTCACCGTCACTCATTCCCACTGACTGCTGCGATAAAATTGAACGTTTACCTATCACATGCATTGTTAGTAACACAGTTGTCTTGGGAACCATGGCAAGCACTGTTTGTTGTATATTGAAGTGGTGGAAAACACGTTTTCTTAGTTAAGTTTCTAAACCTTCCTGCGTTTCGTGGATGCAAAGAGAGAGAAAGAGTAATAGAAGCGGCTGTTTCTATCTCCCTCTATTTTGACTTTAAACACTCATGTCTCATGCAAACAGTCTCATGCAAGTGCTTTGATTAATGAATGTATTCTATTATTTTCAGTATGGTTGTTACCTAGCCTTTCCGACACTGATTGAATGATTAAATCAATGATTTTACTCTTAATTTTTCACATTGGCTCCTGGCCTGGGTGTTGTACTAAAAAAGTGATTTAACTACTCAGTACTCATACATCAGTCAAAGGGGGCTATGTCAGTTTTACTGCCCCCCCACCCCCTCCGCGGGCCTTGGACTTGTGGCCACCCTTGTTTAGATTCTGGAGTCCTTGACTCTGTCGACGATGTTTCTCTTTCTCAGCACACCTTGGTGAAAGCTTCTCTGTATATCTTACTTTTATAGTCTTCCCCTCTCCACTGTCTAGAGACTGATACAGCTCTTTCACTCCAGGGCAGCATTTCACAACACTGACTTATGAGTTTACACTCTGCTCCTCATCCCCCTTTTCTAAAAGCCCAGACAGAAGCAAACTGAAGCCCCATTTTGCTTACCTGCTTCTCTTTTCTTTTTGTTCTTCCAGCCAAGAAAGCACCTGACGGCTCAGTGATCGCCAACGGCTACTGCGACTTCTGCCTCGGAGGCTCAAAGAAGACGGGCTGTCCTGAAGACCTTATCTCGTGTGCAGACTGTGGACGCTCAGGTAGGGCACCGCTGAAGGGGATGGTTGGCAGGAGGAAGGCCGTACTCTGTTGATGCACAAATGTGTGTTATATTTACTCAGTTTAGATTTCGTTTTTACAATATAAATAAATGAACGTTTCAAATCCTGTTACGCTTAAAAATGAACGGACCATACCAGTGTTTTTTGTTTTAGCTCATCTACTACAAATCAGTGTACAGTATACTTAACCTTTTTAATAGACGTTTTCTGTTATGTTTTAGATTTCCAAGTTACTTTGTTACTTTCCAAGCAGTTACTGGCTTACACTTTCGAGAGAATTTGAAAACCAATTTGCAGAGACTGAGCCATTCTACCATTTGTTTGATTTCTTTTTACGATAAAATCTCACAAATGTTACCTAACACGGTAGCATCACCTTGCACTGTATTTTCAGCAATTAACTGAACACCAACATAGGTATCTAGTAAAATGTGTAAGTAAACATTTTATTAATGGGGACTTACTGTTCTTTAAGGCCACCTTACATAACAATTCAATTCATGTCTTCTTTATTTGTGTTAAATGCAGGTTCAAAAGGTCGAAATGTATAGAAACTAGTGGCTGCTTGAAAAGTAAATACTTTAAATATTCCTAAACTATATGAAATGCTTTGAAAGACAGTGGCTTTAATGTAAAGTGTACTAAAATCTTCTCTGAAAATGGACTCATTTTTTAAACACGCTTCTGTTGCTGCTTGTTTAAGTGCCAGGAATATGAATCCGCTTTAAAACCTAAAGTGCTATTTAATATACAATTACACATAACAATCCGTTTCATGAGTGATAACATTATAGATATGGATTATTAATTGTGTAATAGTCTGTACAATACCAAGAATATCAAATAGATAAATCACTTGAGATACAATTTAAGTAATTTAACAAATTGCATGTAACTTCAAGTATATGCAATTAATATGATATGTACGCTCAATAAAATGTAATATCAGTGACCTTGCCTGACCAAAAAAGACAAAATTGCTTCGAATGTCTGCTGCATATCTTTCAATCCTGGCATGTTGTACAACAACAACATACTTTACAATTGTGATATCTTAAACCCATTGTCTTTTTCTTCTTTTTGAGACCATGTTGCTTGTGCTGCAAGAAGCTTATGAGTTTGTGAGAGAATGGACTTTATGTATTGTGAAGGGCCGACAGTACATTTGATCAGAGTAGAGTTCAAGTATGATTTTTTAAATATGGTTGTATTATTATTTTCCCATTATATCTCCCTTTGTTTTCATTTGTGGGCTGTGCTTGTATATCCTGGTTATATGTTTGCAGAGATTGGTTTATGGTGAAGAATTTGTGTATCACTTGATTGCATGTACTGTATATATTTTTTTTCTCCACATGTTTTTTTCATCTGGAAATAAAATAAAACAGAACTTAAAAATAAGTATGTGACTTGTAGTGAATGGGCTGCAGCAAGCATAAATATGGTTTGGTCCTCTTCTTTATAACCACTCACATGGACAATAAATGAAGCTCAAGGAGTGGGGATGACATAACATTAGTACCAGGAAAAACTTATAATTATGGTAGTGCAATACATTCTAAACAGCAGAGAAGTTAAGTACAATGGAAAAGAAAAAAAATGTTCATGTTAGATATTGAATTAGTTAAAGGGGTCCTACTACTGTATGCTAATTTCCAGGTTCATATTAGTATTCTGTGACTCTACTGTGATATGTTAACATGCTTTAACGTTCAATAAGGTATTTCTTTTTCTCATGCCTGTTCTGCAGCACCTCTTTTCACCCTCTGTCTGAAACCAGAGATATCCTGCCCCTTAGCCATATCAGGTACAATGTGTTGTAGCCAAAAGAAGCACAAGTGTTACAAAGTGATGTCACTATGTTGCTGAAGTAAACAAAGAAATCCAATGGATGCATTTCAGACAGGGGGGGAATGTGTTGGAGAGAAACTCCCTCTGGAGGAACTTTGGGATTTTAGCCTTTGCAGACCATTAATACGAACAAAAAGCCATATATCACACTACAGGAAAGGGAAAACCCTAAAAAGCATAATAGGGCCCCTTGGAGACTATTGTAGAAATTCCAACATCGTTTGTATCTAAAGTAAGCCACCGGTATAGTCATTTCTCAAAAACCTCAGATGCTTTATGTAAATATAGGATGCAAAGTTTTCCAAAAAATCTTTAAGCTATCTCAAATTATGTCATGTTCACAATTAACACACCACGGTTGGATTCCCCCTAAAATATAAATACTTATAATTAAATTGTCCGTATGGAGCAAGCTAACTGACGGAGAGATGAAAAAGGTAGATGATTGATGACTGTCCTCATAATACAGAAAGCAATGGTGAAAAAAAATGTTGTTTGCTTCGTGTGCTTCGTGTGCTTGTGTGTGTGTGTGTGTGTGTGTGTGTGTGTGTGTGTGTGTGTGTGTGTGTGTGTGTGTGTGCGTGTGTGCACTCAGGCCACCCGTCCTGTCTGCAGTTCACAGTGAACATGACGGCTGCGGTGAGGACTTATCGCTGGCAGTGCATCGAGTGCAAGTCCTGCAGTCTGTGTGGCACCTCTGAGAACGATGTAAGATCTCACTTTTTATTATGTTAACTCTAAACACATGTGGCACACACGCACATTACATACTGTACATACATAGTGTAGAACATACTACTGTTTGACTATGAGTTTAGGTTTTATAAATAGAGCAAATTTAGGGAATACAGATTTTTATACTTGAAGGAATCCATTTTTTTGCTCACAGACTTTTGATCTCTCTGGCTGGAAGCTGACCACTGTGATATTCTGTTGTCTAATTGGTCCCAATGGGGTGACACCATTTTAAACCCATAAGGCATTTTCAAAGACACACATATATACACAACTAGAATAAAGGCTGTCTTTTTAATCTTTAATGAATAACATAAACTGTAGAGTGGACTATAAGGTCACAGAGCATGTTGATTTTTGTTTGTTGCCTTAAACCATTTTTTTTTCAGTTTTCAAAATTCTACCACCCTAATAAAAGTCAGCGTAGTTAACAGCATTTCTAGATAATTGGATTCTCAATTCAAAAACAAGAAAAAGGTCATGTATATCACACCTCAGCCCTTTGAATCATATTCCTTAAAACTATTATACATATAAAATCATGCTTTTGTGTTCTATAAAATCTGTCCCCACATAATAACTCCTGTTTGTGTGAATATCCTGCTCTATTTCAGGACCAGCTGTTGTTCTGTGATGATTGTGACCGAGGATACCACATGTACTGTCTGAGCCCTCCTATGTCTGAACCACCAGAGGGTATGTAAAACAATAAGAAGGAAGCATGTGTTCAATAATCAAAAGATACTGCAGAACTGAAGCTCTACAAGGGACTGAGAACATTTTTGTTTGTTCAGAATAATTTATCCTTCTGTGCTTTAGGTGTGGAGACAATAGCAGTGAGGAGCGTGAAACCCAGAACAGCCAGATTGTGCTGACTTTTAGACATAAAAATGTTTACTTTTCGGAGTCATTATTAATCCTCATCTCCTTTTTGGACATGTAATATGTATTTACCTAAAGGTTTGCTTTACGTTTACTATTCATTTAATTTATTCATTTATAAATCTTAATCTAATTTGTGGGAACATCAAGGCCATAATTTTCCTGATAGTGTGTCTATCTTAACATGAATAACCATGGTAAATAAACACATCTGCCTACACATACAAGATGGCAGCCATAGGATGTTTGAAGTTGTTGTCATGGAAATGAGGAGAAGCCGAGATAATCTGTTTCCATGGTAAAAGTGTCACTTGGCTGAACATACAGTAGCAGTGGCACTTGTGTTCAACACTCACTAACAGTGTCATGCTCTGCCCACACATGTAACACTTTGGATTTAAAAGAAACATTTTTTAAATTCAGCAATAGTCTGTTAACTTAGGTTTACTCTCATGGAGAGACCTGCGGAACTCTCACATGGATGATAAACATATATTTTTAAACATACTGTGCTCTGATGAATGCTCACGGGATCCCTTTAGTCTGATTAAAGCATGGTGTTTGTACACTAAGAGTTGGGTTTTAGCATCTATCTCAAGTTGATGTTTAATTAATGTCACAAATCCTATGCTCCAATCCACAGGAAACTAGTTGTCAAATCCCCTTCATCTGCAATCCACAGGCACACAGCATGTGGTGTTTCAACATGGAGCTTTAATTTACAGTATTACTTAACGCTCTGTCGAAAATGAAGGATTAATCCATAAGGCTTTACAATAGCAGTGATTGAACTTCAGATCTGTGTGTTTGTTTGTGTGTGTGTGTGTGTGTGTGGGTGTGTGTGTCTGGGTGTGTGTGTGTGTGTGTGTGTGTGTGTGTGTTTGTTGTACAGGGAGCTGGAGCTGTCATCTGTGTCTGAGACATCTGAAGGAGAAGGCCTCAGCCTACATCACCCTCACTTAATCCGCGGAGCTGCACCTCATCCTCTCGGCCCTTCATCCTCCCTCTCCCGAATCACCTCTTCGTCGTCCCCTCTCTGTGCCTCAGCTGCCCCCTCCTTCTCCTCTGATCCAGTCGCCGCCACTTTGTCTACAATCCGTCCCAGTGACCTCTGACACGACTGAGCACACAGCAGCATCCACAGCGTTCCTGAACGTCTCTCCAGCGGCAAACCGACCTCCGTCCTTTAGTGTCACTCACATTCCCCGACGCTTGACCTGAAACCCCCCTTCCTGCCTTTTTTCTGCTCTGCTCAACAGAGGAATTCATCAGCTATCAATAAGTTAGCTAGCAAGACACACACTCCAGCCTGCCAAGGGCACTTCAGAGGCATACTGCTCCACAGAAACGCTCTTAAGGGCCCTCGGATGAGCCCTAATGATCTTCAGCTGCAACTCAGTCAAGGAGTGAGAGAGAATTAATAAAATGGATAGGTGTTAGGTCAAGGACAGGGCTTGGAAGACCCTGGATAACCATGGACCAGTAGGTTCCATTGCTGTGAAATATACACCTAACCAAAATGTATTTTCCTCCCGATGTCCCATTCCATGTACAGCAGAGCTGAGACGTTCAACTCTGCACCGCTATTTGTCGGCGGGGCTGGCTGCCCTGTGCAGTTTCAAAGGAAGGGAATTGTACAGAATTCTGACTGGTTCTCCATCTTCACACTTTTCAAAACTCCCCTCACTGAAAAACAATGAGCATCAGGTCAGGAACTCGAACCATCTTTGACCTCACCGCATCTTCTCTCTTTGCATGGGGTTTCCTCAAATGAATGATGCATTTTGGGATTGACACTGAAGGTTTTTATTGTGTTAGGATGTTATCCTCAGATGAGAGGAGGGATGGATTTTTTTCTCAAATCAGCTATCTCTGATCAAACAGTATATTTAAAATGACAATTTAGGCTAAGCATCTGTCACAAATCCCTGACTTGACCTTTAATCACCCTTCCCTTCTATGAAACCATGACTGTGAAGCCAACGTGAGACTGAAACGCTCCTGGTGCTTGGTGTGTATTATCTGTGTGTTAAGAATGTAGGGTTGATGTGTGGACAATGCAGAACTTCGGCCTAAAACATATTTTTTACGATTCCTTTTTTATTTATTGTTTTCATTTGCATGTCGTTATTTCCAATTGCTTTAAATATTTTAAATCTGAAATAGAAAAGAAAGCACACTTAATTCGCAATAATGTGTTTGTGATATGAACTATTTTGGCCAAACTGTGTCGGTTTTAAACTCTGTGTGTGCCTGTGTGTCTGTTTGTATGAGTTTATCTGAGCAGAAGAGTAATTGTAGCCAGTTTCATGCTAGGTGGCATCTGTGAGGGTATTTGGGTAGCACGGACGTTATGTGAATGTAAGGGAAAACCCAGCATTAACATGTTCTGAAATATGTGGGAAAAAGTAATAGTTAAGCCAGCACTGATGTCCTGAGTTAAGACCAGCAAGTGTTGAAGACTTCACTTGTTTGGATACCAAAATCATAATTCAAAAGACATGTTAACGTTTTACGGCCACACTATTACTTGGCAGAAACTCACGAAGGCCCCTGTGACCGCCCAAAAAAAGTCCAACATTAAACTCCTCGTTAACAATCCTTAATTGTCGCCTTTCCCTTTGTTTTCTACAGATTAATCAAATTAGATATATTTCAGATACTATAAGAAGGGCTGGTAGATTGATTTTGTTATCATCGGACAGAGTCAGTCTAGCAGTTTTCGCTGCTTCCAGTCTTAGAGCTAATGCCTATGAACATCTGGCCAAATGTTACGCCATCTGAAATCATTAACATCATAGTAGCATATGCTTTTGATGTATTCCTATGAATACTTCTTAAGTGTAAATCTCTTTTTGTCCTTTCTCTTTCACAACCCTCTTAATTGTACTACATCACAATTAGTTCAACAAGTCTTTGATTAATACAAAATCCTCACACTGTGTCCAGTGTCCAAAAATTCGGCCATCTGCTACGTTAGAATCTAGTATAATAAATCAGCGTTTGAAGGTCTAGCTTAAGTGTTAAGGCTGAGTTCTCATAATTTGGATTTATCAGGTAAACCAGCCAGCATGTCAATATATGAGGAACATAATTTTCTTCTAAGTGTTATCCTCAACTAGTTACCTGGTCTTCTCAAGGCAACTTGAAGTGGCAAGTGAAAGTGCTGATTTGGGAGTATGTTTGCAACATTTCTGAACTGTTTGATAGGGAAGGTTTCCATCCAATGATGTGTTAGCTTTAAGATTGGAACAATGTAAATAGGGCAACTAAGGCAACTAATCGCCATTTCATACAGTATTTCATATTCTTGTGTACATAAAGAAAGTATGAAAATTCAGTTGTTTTGAATGAACATTTCATTTTAATGCTGCATCACGTCTCTAAATGGAAACTTGCAAGATCAGATGGCTTGTGGGAATCTACCTGACCTGTAATTGTGTTTGCCCTCTGATACAGAAAGACGTTAGGTGCAAATACTGTGCTACGCCCAAACTAAAGGTAGGGTAGGTAAGAATGGAGAAACCAGCTCGAGTGCGCTTGAATTTGAAAGTACGCAGCCAAAAAAGATCTGCCCCTTCCTTCAGACTTCCTCACAGAGCCCCTCCTCCAACACACACGAATGCGCACATGACCAATGAGGGCACGAGATAAGTTTGTGCACGAGATGGAAGGCTGACAGGCAGGTAGGCCATCCAGTTATTTTAGCCGGGCCGGCTCAGATGATTGGTCGTGCTTTTTACATCGCACGTCTTCCATAGATGGAATTTTTTCAATGTATTTATTGTCAAAGCATTTAATATATTCATTGCTATCGGGATGTTAAGAGCATTCCATTGAATATAACAAAAAGTGTTTCTGAAGTTAATTACCTACCCCACCTTTAAATGTGACTTCACTGATGCATGAATGACACCTGAAATGTTACTGATTTTATATTTTGATATTGTCAGAATTGCTTTTTTAAATTACGATGAAAATGAACCTTCAACTTATTTTAATTTCCTGTTTGTTTGCTTTGTCATATGTGTCTATTCACATTTTGCACAGTGTGGCTGCATTGTCTCCCTAAGTGTTTTTATTCCTCTGTGTGTGTGTGTGTGTGTGTGTGTGTGTGTGTGTGTGTGTGTGTGTGTGTGTGTGTGTGTGTGTGTGTGTGTGTGTGTGTGTGTTTGTGTGTGTATAACCACTTATGATTACTGGAAGGTCAGAGAAAAGCAAACCAAACCAAAATAGTGAATTATTATTATTATTGTGCAGACATTTTGTTTGTCTCAGTGGAACCACTTGCATGGCCCAGTACTGCTTGAGGATTTAAATGCCGTGTACAGATGGCAACAACAGAGTACTTAAGTGTGCACATTTTACACAAGGCACTTGGATAAGCAAGAATGCTGATAGCCATTATACAGTGTGTTTAGTCAGTGCTATAAAACCAGTAGTATCCAATCAAAAAATCTTTATTTCCATTAACCAATCAAAGCATCTAGACTTGAAGTGTGTTTGAATGGAAACAGTTTGGTGATGAAATGTTTATGATGATCTTCAATCGATAATAGAAATGTTTGTGTGGTATTTGGTGATGATGTTGATGGTGACAGAAAAGCCTTTAATTGGGAGCTTTCCATGCACTTAATAGGAAAAGCTTGGTGGAGTCAAACTCATTTTGATTGTACTATCTGGGGAAGGGAGGGGAAGCCATGGTGTTTCTTTGGAAGGGTGAGTAACAGTGTGGTCATTAAATGAAACTTGAGCCTTTCCTTTGTACAAATGGAAGCTGTTGTTGATGATGGGGGTGTCAGGGTTCAAACAAAGCAGCCCCAAAAACCTCCATGACTCGATTTTACGCCATTACCCCAACCTCCCCCCGTACAGGCTGTAGGTGTGGCTCGAATAGAAGGTTGGGACACTCTAGGCCTCTCTTGTATATTGTCGTCGTGTGATCTTGCTTGCACTTTTATGTTTCATTTCCCAAAAATAAGAAACTAATTGTAAGTATGTATGTGTGTGAGTGCGGGTGCACTTTTTTATTTTTGATCTTTACATTTTTTCAACGTGATTGTCTATTGTATCAACACTGGATAAAGATGAGTTTTTAATTTTAATTTTTTACCTTGAGAGGAAGATGATATCTTCTTGGACATTTTCTAGCCCCCGCCCCGCCCCCCTCTCTCTCTTTCTCTGTCTGGTACCTGGGAATGCTTTGAAAATGTGGACTGTGACCGCATTGCTGTCATCACTGCTGTCAGTCATTCTCTGTGAATTCATCCGACTTTCTCAATTTACCCAGTTTTTTTCTCTCTTCCCTTGACTCATTTCTTTTCAATTAAAAAGATGAGATTGAAAAACGTGTTGATTGTTATTGTTGTTATTTTGTGTGAGTGTGTATATTTGTGTTTCTGTTGTATAAATTACTCAATATTTATGTGATTTTGGAGAATAAGTTTGTCCGTCTATTCGTCTGCATTGTTGCATCTAACTATTCTGTTTAACTTTTTTATTCCAGGTAAGGAAGACTTTGCAGCAGAGGCCAACACCAGCCATTTTCTCCTCTTTACATTCTACAGATAATAATCTATCAAAGCAGTGCGTTTAGGACATTGACTCTTAATAACTCATTATCATTTCCAATTACCTCTTGTGGCTTAAATCAATTCAATAGAATCCTTCATTTTCTTTTGTGCGACGGACTCCACACATATTCTAACCCTTTCATGTGTTTGAACAAGGAACAAATTGGCTCCGAGTTGACAAAAGAATAAGGTACAGCATTGTTTTCCTTCTTTAGCTGGCCTGAAAAGCTGCGGAACAGGGACAAAAGAGCCCCATAGTCCACAATTGTTTTCGAACAACACTGCAGAAGAGAATACACTTAGCTATTCAGGGCAGGTACAGTTTTGCTATTTGTGATGTATTCCTGGAGATGAGACATTCATCATAGCTGCTATGTTGGCCAGACCTGGCTGAGCAACAGCAGCAGGGTGAAGTCAAGCTGATCAACAATTCCATTTTTCCCCCTCTCTTGCCTGCTTCTTCTCAGAAGCCAGAAAACCAAAAAATAGTGCAAACTCGGTTCCTTGGGGGAATATAGGTATTTTTAACAATATACTCCGAAAAACCAATTCCTCCATCCATCCTTTGGCAGAGCTCCAACCTTATCCGAAATCCTGCACTACTCCCCCAACCGCCGCCCTCCTGTGCATACAGAAACCCACACACACAAAAGCCCTGTGCCACACACACTCAGACATGCGTACACACACAAAACCACACACACACACACACACACACACACACACACACACACACACACACACACACACACACACACACACACACACACACACAGAGCCTAGAGCCCCCATCTTCTTATGAGCGTCATTACTCTGACCCCAGTCTCCCTTTCATATCTCAGAGGGTGTTTATGCACTATGTGTGTGTGTGTGTGTGTGTGTGTGTGTGTGTGTGTGTGTGTGTGTGTGTGTGTGTGTGTGTGTGTGTGTGTGTTTCACTTAATACAATGTGTATGAATATTTTGGCCCAGAGAAAGCACGTGTGTGTTTATGTGTGTATCATGTGCGTGCATGTGTATACTGTATGCCAATGTGAGAGTACTGTACTTTCTGTAAATGTGTGTGTGTGTGTGTGTGTGTGTGTGTGTGTGTGTGTGTGTGTGTGTGTGTGTGTGTGTGTGTGTAGGACTTCCCAGCCAATTACCACATCTCCCAGACAGACTGAGACTGCCTGGGCCCTGCCAGCCAATCAGAGAGGGGCTGCGCACTGTCGGGCCGGAGGTGGTTGCTATGGTAACCACGAGGCCTGTTTGCATGGTGGCTGATGGAAGAGTGATGGATTACAGTAATGGGATGGAGGGAGAGAGAGAGGGAGAGAGAGAGAGGGAGGGAAGGGGGAGATAGGGAAGAAAGGAGGAAGACAGAAGGAGGTAAGACAAGAAAGGGGTGAGGATAGGAGAAGGATAAAGAAAGAGAGAGAAAGGGGAGTGGGAAGGAAGGGGCATTGGGTGGCGGTGGTGAGGAGGAGGAAGAGGAAGAGGGAGGGGGGGGGACTCATACATAAAGATTTTGGAAATGTATGAATGCATCTGAAATGAAGCGACTTCAAAAGATGAAAAAAGAATGAGAGAAAAATGATAAAAGGGGAGTAGTGACGGGGGGCAAGCTATTGGGAACATTGGGATGAGGGTGCTGGAGGGTTGTAGTGTGTGATTGAATTCCCCTCTCCCCTTCGTCTGGGACAAAATGTGTGTCTGGCCATCTGTCCTTGGAGCAGACAGACAGGTAAGTGTGTGGAGAGGTGCAGTCTCACCTTTCTGCCTCCACCGCAGAAAGAACTTCTTACCGTGTTTCCTCCCAATCCCCCCATGTGCTCTTATTGAAACTATAACATGAAACCCGAGATAATGTTCTTTAATAAGTCACGGAATATTATAACTGTACACATTTTCCCAAATGCCATCTGAAGCTGTGTTGCTGTTTTAAGCAAAAATAAAGAAATGTAATAATTCACTGCTGTTAAATCGCTTTACAGGGGGATTATGTCCAAACAAATCCAACAAGAAAATGTGTTAAGAAAAAGGTACCACACTTTGATGAGACACACACGCACAAACTACCAAGGTAACAATGTTCACTGCTGTTTCCGCTGGTAATATGCATTTCTTTACAAAAGAACATATTAAAGTCACCTTGAAACACTGTATTAAACATATAATGCTTGCACATTTGATGAAAGTGTCAGAATGCAGCTATTACCATAAAGAATTGTATTCACATCAAACAAGGATTTATTTACCATCAGCATTGTGACTCTGGTATTGTTTTCAACTGCGTGTGTCATGGCAAAATGTGTTCAGGCTTTTATTTCTCTGTGCAGACAGGTTTAGTTATGATGATAGTGTCCCAACCTCAGGAAACTTTATAAATCTCTAGCTGTAATCAAAAAGATGGGCAATTTATTTTATTTGGATGTGGTCGGAACAAGGGGCATCCGTCTTAGTCCCCTGGCCCTGATTTTGTGTCCCAGGTGATGATCTTATCACAGGATGCTCTCTAGATAATGATGTTACATGAACACACATCTTCCTTCGTCTATCCAAAAAGAACATACTATCAACAAAAAGCTAATATGTACAAAGGACTTTGATAATGCATTGTATTCAACCAGATTTTAAAACTGAGGATCTGAGACCCAAACAGGGTTTAAAAATCATTTGCAAGGACATACCACTGAAAAATATTTAATTCAAAATCTTTGTTTATGACTCTTCTCATAAAAAATATACAATCACAGAATATCAAGCAAATACAGCAAAGTCAAACATGTTTTTTTTTCTTGTGGTATATAAAAGGCTGTATGAGCCCAAAGGGAACCATTAGGGTTAAAGGGAATAACCAAGTGTTTTTGACCACACCCAGTGACAAATTAAAAAGCTGATTACTTTGCAAATTCAACCGATATCAATGATCCTCACGACCCATATTAGATCGTTCGCTAGAGCAAGCAATTAACAGTCAAAGTGTTTTTTTAAGAGTCTAAATATAGCTAATCAATCAAGTGAGCAGGATCAATGCAAATCAAAGAATGTGGTTTCCCTGCTCAAACTGTAAGAGGCTTGTAAGAGGTGAGTTTGGTATATTGCTCAGGAGTGCAGCCTTTAAAACGTGATTTCCTCTCACACTTACAGTACTGAGTTTTCCTGTTGAACCACAACGAGTTCCCTCTCATTGACGAATAGCAACTGATTTTGATTCAAGGATAAGACTAAATCATGGGAACCCATATGCCTGTGATCTTTTAAAGCGACAAAGCACTAGTCAAGTTCATTTACGATGCAGTCCATTCAAATTAACTTCTGGCCCAAATCAAAAACATGAAAGAAGTTACTAAAATCCATCATAGTGGCACTTTAATATGTTCTCTTGTCATTCCAAGTGTCATCTTTCATGATTATCTGCCACAATCCTCACTTTTGTTGCTTTGACGGTATCAATTCAAACAAAACAGTCATTTATTTGTGTTGATCGTTTGAATCACAGTCTATGAAGGATTGGATCATCAGTTTGCAGCAATGATTATTTGCCAGGTGAATAAACACTGGGAGAGTCTGCATTCAAATAGAGAAAACAAATACATAGAATTAAAAGGTACATTTGAAATCATAACTCAACACTGCGACCTAGAGGCAGACTTAAGCAACAACATCTGTCTTTTAAGCAATACAAAGAAAAAAAGTAATACCTGAATTATCTGGGAAGCGTCGGTAACTTATTCAAATACATACAAAGGGAAAACAAGAGTTCAATAATCCATAAATAAATACAAATACAGAAAGAAAATAAACGAAGACAGACAAAAGCATAGTTGCAGGACAGAATTAAAAATGATTCCTTTGATTTTATCTTGATGTTCTATCAACTCAGATAATTAAGTCTTGCACATAAAATGCTTTCTATTTTGTTCACCATTTTTGTTTATTATCCAAGTCTTTAGTTTGGGTTTGATTTATTCCCTCTCTCTTGAGGTTTACACTACTTACATCTAAAATTAGATAGACAACGAATAGTATGGATCATAAATGATATGTTAATTCTATTTCCCTTAATAAGAAGGCAATTACCCTGAGCAAACACAGTTACAACATCGTGTATTGCCGTTCACTGTCTTGCAGCCGTGTACTGTGAGATGTACACTGATTGGTAAATTTGAAAAATGAACGTCAGCAGAGTAATGGGAAAATACAAGGCTGATTAAATAAAGCCCTACTCTCTTTATCTTATCCCTAATGTTCTGTGTGTTTTTTCTGGCATCAACCAGCCTCTGTGGCTTTTATTCAAGTTCAATATTATTCAACCTTCAGTGGGCCGCTTTTTATCCAAAACTATTTTGAAGGCTAGCAATCACCTGTTGACCCACAGCTCAGCATCCTTAACCTGCAGCTCCAAAATTACAGTTATACTCCAAATGTAGACCTGAACAGAGATGTAAACCCAGGTGTAATCACTTTATATTATGATGTTTTTTTAACAACATGTAGCTGGTGAGTTGAATGTGTCTGTTGTTCTTTATACTATAATGTTAATGTAAAACATATCCTAACAAAACTAAAAAAGTATTTCACTAAAGAGATAGAAGTTCCTGAACAAATAAAAGCGTTCATGCAACACATTCTTTTGTAAAAGTTTAAAAAGTTGCATCGCGATTGGGCATAGTTTAGAGAAGATCCTCCATAGGACGGAGAAGCCGTTCTTGATTTCAAAATGGGGAACTTTAAGTCCAAAGATAGCAACTGTTTGAGGAACTAGACTTTAAGCCATCTTTTGTCCTCTATAATAACTTTTTCTTCTCAAGGAGTATCTTTGGATGTTTAGTAGATTACGTTTGGATGTGTTATAAGGAGATTTTCGCTATGTTTGTAAAGAAAAAAAGGTTGAGTGGCTTTGTATTGAAAACACATGGTATTCAATATTTTTAATAAATGATGGTTGGGATTGAATATGGGGTATATTTTAATCTGTTGGTTGTGTTATAGTATGTTTTGCATTTATAGGCATTTATATTCCTGTAAATTCTGTATGTATGCTGGTCAAATAACAAGTTAAAGGAGTGAGCCACTTTGTATAGGTTAACCTGACCTCCTGACCTCAGTAGGCACTTTAAGTGAGATAACTATAGAACCCTTTCTCAACTTTAGAGCATTTTTGTATTAGGCAAAAATAGGCTTGTATGAATCCATATGCGAGATTCGCACATGTGTTGTGATCGTGGGAAAAACAGCACATGAACAGATATCATGGTTACATAACCTTGCTGGCTATGAGGGGTTGTAAATTGCCAAATAAACATCAATGTTTCAATATTCTAGGAGGTGAACCTAATATCAAATAGACATTTATGTTATGGATATGTGCTTTATTTCCAATTATTACAAAATTAAACAATACTGACTACAAAGTCAGGATTTAAAAAACAGTGGTGGAAGAAGAGGTGGAACTATTAAAGTAAGTAAAAATACATGATGGCACTCAAAACGGCACTTGGGATTGTTAGCACAGATCATATCATTAGGTATCAGTAGGTACTACTGCTCATGCATACATGTAATGGATTGCATGTTTAACTAAAGTAAAAGTTGTAATGCCTCATAGTAGAACAAACACATTACTATAAAGGAAAACGTGATGGATTCCAAATGAAATTTAGAAAATGTAGAAAGGTATCATAATCAAAATATACTCGAAATACCAAAAGTTTAAATATGTATTATTCAGAATGGTCTATTTCTGAATATTATTTATTATATCATTGGATTATAATTATTGATGTATTAAGTTGTTCATTACTTTAATGTTGCAGTTACACTTTATACTGCTGGGAGGCCAGTGAATTCTTTGTGAAATAAAGACTTAATTTATTGTAGCCGATAGTAAAGCAACATAATTGATATTGATGATTATATTTTTATTCTCAATCTTAAAATGTATCAATAGCTGAAATATATATATATATATATATATATATAGGTGGATATCAGACCTTTGCAGTGCTAATATTGGGATTGTCTATGTTGTTTTTCAATTCTTACACACTCCCTCATCTACACCTTGTGGTGGCTGAATTTTGGTTCACCACACACAAATGTCACGTGGTAACAGGAGTTCAGATAAGTTAAGGACACACAAGGTGAAAGGTGACGGAAAGTCATACATAAAAGCCAGTTTCTGCTCAGCGTGGACCGTGGCAGCAGGCAGGTGCACCAGCGGGTGAGTTAAAAATATACACATACAACAAACTGATCCTCTTTCATTTGCAGGCCCAACAAGCCTTTTTTAGTTGCTGCGTTCATAACTGCCATGTTGAAATTAAATATTGTATCATTAGGGAAAAACTGAATATAGATATCATATTAATATTGTGTTATGCGACTATAGATAATGTGATATACTATGGAACAAGTGTGTTTTTTTCCTGTTTCGAAGGCTGCATTACAGTGATGTCATTCTGTAATGTTTATTATTGGTCTTTACCCACTAAGTTGCTATATCCACATTACCGATGATTATTTCTTCAGAAATCATGTGTATGTAATGGAAGCACCAATAGTCAACTGTATATTTTGCGTTTTTAGTGAAAGATATTGTGATATTTGATATACGTCTACTGTATATCAACCAGCCCTAATTCACATGCTTATCTTCTGTTTTATTCAACTCTAAAGGCCAATCAAGACTCCCAAATACTAGAGGTTATTTCCAGGATGAAAACTTTTGCCTCTTTGTGCGCTCTTCTCTGGCTCCTCTTTTCTGTTAATGCCGATCTTGTTGAACGTTTTGAGGTTTGTGACCTCATAGTTCAGTCAAAATTGTTAAGGAACATTTTATCTGTCTGTTGGTAAGTGGCTCAGTAAGTGATTTTGTTCCAGGATGTGCCAGAATGCGTGACGTACTTCTATAAGGACAAGGTGCCAGACTGGGGGGCTTCTACACCTGGTGCTGCCCGTCTCTGTCAGCGCTTCAACAACAGGTAGGGAAGGGCAGAAAGTCGAAATTAGAAATTCTTTGAGCACTCAATGTGTCTTACAATTTTCCCTTGCAACTTTCCTGATCTCTCAATCCGTTATTCTTAATCCTTTGCACCACCAGGTACCACTTTGCCACCCTGTATGACACCAACAACCGTATTGCTGTCTACTCAGCCTATCATTTCCAGCCCAGCAATGGAGGTGGCAGGGAGAAAAGGTGGTTTGTGGAGCCTCAGGTTGGTGGCACATTTGTGTTTGTGTAGTATATGCAAATCCACTGTACTAAATTGATGAAAAAAAAAAAAAATGTAAGACATAATTATCAAGTATGGAGAGTGTGGTTTGTAAGTAATCAACCAGGTGCATAATGCATCGATATCCTGCAATATTATGATACTATATAAGGCGTTTAGACATCATCTGTATCCTCAAAATGATAGAGTTTTTGTCTTACAGTTAGTAAACATGTCTTGGCAAGCAGAAATGAAGGATGGCTACTGGCTAGGGAAAGACCACCCTGGGATCTACCAAGGAGAAAGACAGGCTCTGAATGAGGACTACACACATTCTGGGTTTGACCGAGGTCACCTCAACCCCAACGGACACCATCCCGGTAAGGGAGGATGAACTTTGATTTCAGTTTAATCCAAAAGGGGGATGTACCATATCAGATTAGGCCAAATCACAATGTATTACATGTATGCTAGTATTTAACCAACTATCTTACTGTACTTGTTTCATCAACCATGGAGGAGTAAGGTTATTACAACACATCTACTCAAGTAGCCTCGAGACATTTAGACACATTCATACATGCCATTGAAGTTGTTTTGTTTATTACATTATATATATATATAAAAAAAAGAAGCTTTTTCAAAGAATATCCTAATGGGAACATTTCTCCGTCTTTGGTTGATAACTCTAATATGCTCATTTAGTTGGAGATGGGTAGTTACAGTGAGTGCACACAATAGTTAAAGGTGGGATAGGTAAGTTTGAGAAACCGGCTCGAGAAACACTTTGTGTTATATTCCATGTAATACATTGTGAATATATTCCATGGAATGCTATCATTGATAGCAATGAATGTCTTAAGTGCTTTGACAAAAAATCCATTCAAAAATGTCATCTGTGGAAGCCGTAGTACTGTAAAAAGCACGACCAATCATTTTAGCCGGCACAGCTAAAATAACTGGATGGCCTACCTGCCTGTCAGCCTTCCATCTCGTGCACAAATTTATCTCGTGCACAAACTTATTTCGTGCCCTCATTGGTCATGTGCGCGTTCGTGTGTGTTGGAGGAGGGGCTCTGGAAGGATGTGGCAGATTTTTTCCGGTTGTGTATTTTCAAATTCTAGCGCACTCGAGCTGATGTCTCCAAAATGACCTACCTCACCTTTAATGGCCTAGTGTTTTACTGAGATCTAAAGATAGCAACCATAGACTGTATATATGATAGCAACGCTACACCACTTCACTCTTTCCGTGTTTACCTTTCACAATGAAAGACCAACTTTAATTACTCAGCACTTTTTTATAGATTAAAGTTACGCAACAAAACCACTTACAATAGCGTTAGCCAACGCGAATACTCACTCAGTGGCCATCTGGCCTCCCGACCCTGTTGGTGTTGGCTGTATTTCCCAGTTTGGGGTCCTGAGTTCTTGAGCAAACCTGAGTCCACTTGGGAATACAATGTCCATGCATAGTAGGCCTAAATTCGACACAAGCTCAGCGTCAGCGAGGGCATCCAACAAAAACTTCCCCACTCTGACATTGCATACAATAATTCAGTTTTTGCACAATTTAAGCAAAGGTAGCAAAAGTGTTTGCACACTGAGCTTCTGGAGGGTCTGATCATTTCCGCTTTGCAGCAGCCTCGGCTCCGCAGTGCAAGGTGCATTTCTCTGGATATGACAATAGTCGGCCAAAATAATGTAAAATGTATCCTTGCCAATTTCGGCACTAATTTTGGGATGCCTTTTTGGCTTTCGAAATCGCATATAGTTTGCAATGTATGCCAGGAGAAGGAAGTTATGTTGTTGTTTCTTTAAACTTTATTGAGATAAAAACGTACACAGTTTTGTTTATAAGCGGAGCCCGCCCCCTGGCTAACTAGCGGAAGTAGGTTTTTGTTCTGGCTTTCACAAATAATCAAGGACTGAATGGCAGTTGCCAAGCTGGAATTAGAAAAGTAGATATGTGCATTCTTCATTTATTTTCATAGCTCTTCTGTCATATACTGTTCAACATTTTTGGAAGATTTGGGTATGTAACAAGATTATTTATAAAATAAATCGTTGAAAGTAAACTTTGACTAAGCATTCAACATGGGCAGACCACCTGCTAACGTGTATCTTTATCAATTGTTATTTAAAATTAGTGTATTTAGTGTATTTTCATCAAATGTAAAGGTGCAGTTAACTTTTTCATTTTCCTTAGGTTCTTACTATTCAAATGTCACCAGAAAAATGCTTATAAGACTTATTGTTGAGGAACTATTGCTGATCCATATCAGTATTTCATTTTGAGTGTTTTTTGTAGGTCAGGGCCTTATTAGTTAGCAAATCCCTGGTTAATGTTGAGGAAAGGCACTTGTATGGTTGCTTTAATCTTATTCAGCTGCTGTTGTCTTGGATTTGGACCTTCCCCACAAAACCTGCCTCCAGCTAATATACCCTAACAATTTTGAAGAATAATGGGTGAATTTTGAACTTGTATATGTAGACTAACAATTATCCAGCTGCTGTTGGACACATCTCTGTATCTTTCCTTCTCCCTCTAACCACATATACACAGCTTTATTTTTCCAGAACCACAAACTAAATGTATATCTTGCATAATTTACTGTAACTATCCATTCCTTTCTCTCTTACAGTCCCTGGCCGCAATGCCACTTTCACCCTGACCAATGTGGTTCCTCAGAACCCCAAAATGAACCAGAACGCCTGGAGGATCCACGAGTCCCAGCTCACAGACCTTTTCCGGGACAAGTGCTCTAAGGCCTTTGTGCTTGTTGGTGCAGTTCCCTCTGTGGACAACTGGATTGTGAAAAACAATGTGAAGCGGGTCAACATCCCAGACTACCTTTGGAATGCCTACTGCTGTGTGGACAACAATGGCAGACCCATTCAGAGTGGTGCTGCCACAGCGAGGAACACGGAGGAAAACTGGGTGGAGAAGCTCTCTCTAGAACAACTGGGAGATTTCCTCCAGCATTTCTCCAATCAGCCAGTAGGGGAGCTGTTTGACAACAACTGCAAAGCATAAAAGATAATAAAGGGACGATTAAAAAAAAGCAGGAGCCATTGCCCTTTATTTTTGCATTACATTTATATCACCACAAAATAAAACAGTGAGAAAACAAAATATAAATATCAATTGTGCACATTTTGAAAATACAATGAGTTTCTGACATCATAAACTATACGTTTTTGTATGAATGATTAAATTATCTTAATTTCCTTGTCAAGAAATATGACATCCCTTCAGGGTTATAGTGAAACCTCATCCAATAATCAATCACATGAATAATACATAGGTATATTGTACTATCTTTAACATCCTAAAAGCAAACGATCTATCAGAAAAGTAACAAGAAGACATACTGATCAACTGATTACTGATCAACACCTTAATATCTGTAAAAGTATTAGACTTATATGACCCTGAAAGAAAACCCTACTGTAGATTAACCCTAAAGAAGAACCACAATTACATGTTTTATTATTTTACTCTGAAGCTAATGACAACATTACCAACTATAGTAAACTGCGACAGCTCCACCTCAGCACTAAAAGGTGTATTAGAGTTGTATGACCCTCAAAGGAGAACCTAGATAACACACTTTTTTACTTTGATAAAAACAGTGTTGCAAAGCTGATGTTCCCAATGCTTTTTTCTGCTGAAAAATATCTTAAGCTATGATCATCATTTGTATATACAGAGGAACACATTATGGTGCGTTTTTCAAAAGAGTTGCTCTTAGAAATGAACCCTAAGTTAAATATCAACGGACTCTTTGCGACATCTTAGTGTAACTTAAAGCCCAACTACAAGTTTTATACAGCTTCAGCTGCAAATGAGTTGTAGGGGAATTGTGATTAGATAGATGTGCAATCTAAACATGTTTCTAATTTGACATATTGATAAGCTGACGCTGATCTCTCTGAAATGTATTAAGATGCAGTCAGAAGTTTAGTCATATTTGAGCATGGGGTGGTCGCTCCAGGGAGGCAGGGGGGTGAGTTTCTCCTCAGTGGCTCTGTCGATGGGCCAGCCCCAGGACTTAAAGAACGCAGACAGGTTCATCTCCACAGTCTGGGAGAAGGTCTCAGCATACAGGTTCATCTTTCCACTGTTGTCACTGGGGTAGTTGCTTATCTTGTGGTAGGCAGCAAATACCTTTTTAAAGGCATCCCAGCCAAATATTCCTTGGAGCTACATGGAGAGACATCATTTCGTAAGATTTAACAAATTAACTGCAGTAAACTAGAAAAGTCTTAAGGGGCAATTCTAGCAGTACAAATATATTGTTGCGTGGTCCATAAGTCCTTGACCTAGTCTAGAGTGAAATATCTTAACATTTATTTGATAGATAGCAATGCAACTTGTTAAATATATTGAGCTCCTGGGGGGATTAATTATAACTTTTCAAAATGTTTACTTGTCCAATACTAAGGTGATTTAATTCTTCATAAGATGTGAGTTGACCTCTTGGACCGGGGTGTTAGTGAGATTTTTGGCGTGAGCCTTACCCCATCTTTGTTTAGAGTCTGATTTACACGTATGAACCACATTATTCCTAACATGGAGTTATTAATTCTCCATGTCCCCAAAACCAGTCAAAAGTCTTTCCACCTTTAAAGTGCTGGACCATTGGCCAAACCGTTATGTTACCTCCATAATCATACGTTCTACAACAGTCGAGGGATATTAGTAGGTCAATTAACTTTGAGCCTTACTTTTTCCTTATTTTTTAGCCTGTGTAGGTTTCCATTTCTGTTTAAATGTCAACTGTAGTGATCCACATAATGTAAAACACATAAACTCTCTTTCACCTGCAGGTATGTCTCCAGGGCCGTCCACACATTCCAGTCGCTGAGATTCTTGCCTCCCTTAACATACTTATCTACAGTGTTCTTCCGATTTGTCAAGATCATCGATGGATGAGCCTAGTATTGACCACAGTCAAGTACATTTTAT